ACACACACACACACACACACACACACACACACACACACACACACACACACATATATATATATATATAGCTGTGCTCCCTTTCGATGAAAGGAATGACAGGTGCGTTAACATCAACTGAAAGTCATTGGCCTACTATATAATTTTACACTCTATTGCAATGGAGCAATAAATCTTGAGAGATGCCTACAATTAGAAGGTCTAGAGTCTAGATATATTCTCAAAACAAAATGCGCCTCCCGAAATATCACTTCCGGCACTTCTGTTGTGAATGAGAGCTGCCAGAGACTCTCTGGAGCTACGCAGATTTGCTTCGTTTCTCTGCGTTTCACAGTGGAATAATCACAAAGGCCAAAGAAGGACGGGAACTTTTTGTCAAATATAATTTTTCTAAAATCAGGAAAGGAATAAAATTAAAATCGGGCTCCGTCATGGGGACCTATCTCTATCTCTTTGCAAGTATTTGCCAGCGTTCAACTCTAAAGCAGTCGTAGTTTTATGGGAAAAGTGACACTTGTTTCCAAGTTGCCAAATAAATAATAGATATTATTATACTATACATGACGGTACGCATGCATAATACGTGTCTTGAAAAAACAACAACAACCCCACAGCATCTCATAGAGAGTTCGTCTTTACAATACGGTTGTCTGAACTCCGCAAGTGGTTGACAACCCTGGATGAGTGAGATACCATTCGGATCATTTGGGAGGCGGGCTTCTTTGACTCTGCAAGTTATAGGCAACCCTAGATAAGCAGGATACAATCGGATCATGTACGAAGCGGGCTGCTAGAAGTCTGCCTGTTGTGGACAGCCCTGAATGAGTGGGACACAATTCGGGTAAATTAGGAGGCGGGCTTTTTTGGTTCTGCCAGTTGTGGACCAATGATTATGTTGTGGACAACACTGGATGAGTAGGGTACAATTTATATCATTCAAGAAGCGAGCTGTTTCATTTTAGGAAGCGGGATGTTTGGACTCCGCCAGTTATGGACAGCCGTGGATGAGTGGGATACAATTCAGATTTATTTATGCGGTGGACTGCCTCTACCCTGCCACTTTGGTGACGACAAGGGCTGAAGAAGATACCGTATGTTTAAAATAATTTTAAAAAAATAATTATACAG